GACGCCGGCCTCCGGGCACGGTGCCTCGGCGGCCTCCCGGCTTCCGGCCCTCCGCCCCGCCCCGCGCCGCGCCATACAGCGCCGCAGCACCCGTCGCGCGGCAACGCGGCCGCGAGGCATGGCGGGAGGGCCGCCGCCCGCGCGTTCCCGCCGCGCGCGAAGCGGTGCTGCCCGTCTCTCGGACCCGCTGCTCACCTCCGCGCTTGCTTCCGGACGGAGCGCCGCGCCCTGGCCTCCGCTCCTCCGGCGCCGATCCCCGCGGCCTTCCGCGCTCCCACGGCCGGCCCGCCGAGAGGAAGTCCGGTGTAAAACGGGAGTTCGGCGCCTGAAGGGTGGCGGGGCCCCGCGGGAGGCGCCGAGCGCAGCGGGGATCGCCCGGAGCTCGCCGCGGGAAGGCTTTTCTCTGTAAACGTCGCCGCTCCTCGCAGCTCTCGCGGGGCCGCCGGCGCCCCCTGCTGGCGGAGCTCCGCGCCGCGCTCCGCTCTCCCGCTCGCTGCGCTGCAGCTGCCGGCGGCTCGGCGCCCCGTCGCTCCGCTCGCAGCGCTCCTCTCCGGCTGAGGAGCGAATGGGAATAGCAGGACCGGCGCCTGCGGTGTAGTAAAAAATCATCGGGGGAAAAAAAAGATAAGAACGAAGACAGTGACGAACTCTTTCAAAATATCTTTTAAAAATTGGCGATACAGCACGTTCTGAATTCTAAATAAATCGTCAAAATTAAGAGATACTGGTTTCTCCTTATAAATAAAAACAGCATGGAGCCCTTTACCAAAAATAGTTTATTGCACAAAACTTTTAGAGGAATTCCTATGCACACTATTTTATAACGGACATGCTTCGTGTGATCGATTGTGCAACTCCTCCCTCCCTGGGTTATCCCCTCACAACACAAAGCGACCGGCTCCCATCTTTACACACCCAGCCTACGCAGACATTACATTAGCGAGCATCATGTATAAAACATAACGCTGCTTTTACAACACTGAGAACACCTTTATCTCCTCTAGGGATCTGTGCATCCGTACTGGAAATCTGCTCTGCTCTCAGCCTGCAGTGTTACGCAGCAGCGGGAGACCACTGTAATCAGACTGACAGCTAACGAGCACCAGTAATTTGGACTGGTGTCAGTCACCAAGGCTCTGATCGCAGCAGGTCACACGTAACGTGCTCACACCTCCCTGGCAGAGTTATTGGAACATACGTGACAAGCTGTGCATCACCAGTAGCAAACTTGTCAGCCCCAAGGTAATTTGGCACTGGTGGCACTGTGTGTGCCCAGCGCACAGCTGCTGTCACACCACACTCGTGCTGCTGCACTTCACTCCCCTAAGGAGGTAAAGGTAATCCATGATACTAGCACTCCACCATTCATTCTGATAATACTCTGCTCTCTATGCCTGTGACGATGCCATAGATTTCAGCTAGGATACTGTCTGAATGAACAGCGGGGGATCCGATCCTCTACTGCAGGAGTGGATGCGGGGCTCAGCTGGCCCCTGTACAGTGCATGAGTATTTCAAGACATCTGGAAGACGACAGGATGGAACATTACAGTGTTCAGCAACGTCACAGACAGTAACTAACACTTCTTTCGTTGCAGGTTTTTCTTTGTTGTTGTTTTAATGCATTTTTTTCCAGAGCCTCCAAAAACCCAACAGCATTTGGAAACAGACAGTACAGCCTTTAACAACTTTCAACATCTGGGAAACATTCTTACTTTACAGCAACATTTCTGCCCCATCATCAAGCCTGTTCAGTGGGTAGCAACTGCTGAAAAACAGACAAGGAAAATACATTCCCCTCAAATACTTGAGAAAGCAAAAAACCCTTTTGAAACAGTATTCTCCAATTTCTAAAAGCACACCAACATCAATGAGGCACTGACACTCTTCTGATACATTTGGCAGTTCGCAGACATGCAGAGGGGACCCACTTCTCATTCCAGTAACTACTCTACTGCCCAGACAGCAAGAGACCTCTGCCTCTGTAGAGAGTGCATGTTCAGCCTCAGGGCGAGGCCTCTTAATTAAGCAGCAACTATTTCTCTGGATAATTAAGATACATAGCTGATAGCTTGAAAGAAAAGGCCTTTCCTTTTGTCACATCCTGAGTGCCCCTTCTAGAAGGCTTTCTAGTGACTCCTCTGACTTCAGCACTTAGGACCACACCAGGTTTGGACCCACAGACCTTATCTCTGATCTGCAATGAAACAAATGGCATGGTGCTTGTGTCTATAGAAAACCACACGGTGAAAATAAAATAACTAGTGCCCAGGAACTTTGAAAGAGAGACAGGTCGATCAATGCAGAAATCTAATCTCAGCATTTCACAACAGCTCCTTCATCTTTAAAAAGAAAAATACATACCTAAGACTACCTGACTGTACCAACTCAGCTGCCTTCATAAGGAGCTAGTGCAAAAACACAGCGCTGCACCGAAGACAGAATGCAGTACTGATACAAAAAGAACAGACATTTTTAAGACAAGACCTATGAAGATTTCTTACAATCCTGGCTTCTCTGAGATCAGATAAAAGCTTTATCTATACAACTGTTGGCAAACTTCAGAGATTAAAACATAATGGATTAACTGTAGGCAACATATTCACCAAAATGAACACCAACGTTAACCCTGCACAAGTGTTATTTTATTTAAAATCCTCAACATTCGATAACTTTTTGTACTGAATATATTACTCCCTACGTAGATTTGATTTTATTATTTGACAACACTGCATATGTTTTTCTTCTTAGAGCTTAATATACAGGCAACTTCAAGAACATGACAGCAGCGAGATAACCAGTACCATTGACTCTGCAAAGTGGACTGCAGTGGTTTGCAGACATTAACATGGTTAAGCTAGTCAGTAAAGCTTCTGGCTTTTCTTTAAATTTGTCAGTAACTCTGTATGTTGGACACCTAATTTACACTAAGGCATTTCTCCCTTTGCTAACTTGAAAACCTTGGCTTTTAACATCACTTGACTCTGACTCCACAAAATGCCAGTTAAAATCCAGGAGCTGAGCAAGGGAAACAATGTCATTCAGCACAGATGCTAACTACTGAGTGTTCAACTGGATTTGAGCTTCAATAGGTAATTATGAGCTCCAAAGCTGGATAAACGTTATTCCCTCCACCCAATCCCCACCCCTCATCCAGTTTTGACTTATTTGAAGCAAACTGCAATCGTCTCCTCTCAAAACACCCAAACCCATCCAAAAGCAGCCTCCTCCAAGAAGCTACTTCCTCTTGAGAAAAATAAACAAGCTGGACAACTGACAGGGAAACTTCTCCAAACCCCGGGTTATAGCTAATTATGAAAAAGTTACTTGAAGAGATGCTTTTTTTTTTTTTTTTTTTTTTTTTTTTTTTAACAGCTGATCAGTCTCCTTGCACTTGTTAGATTCATTTTTCACACCAGCCTACAGTGAATACAATTGACCTGTTTTCTGTCTGTTTCAAACACAAAACCACGCCGGCACAAGCAGCCACTCAACCTTCCAAAGAACATCCTGTACATTTTGCTCTGTGCCTTAGGACACTGGATGCAGCAGTACCTCTGCAGCAGTTTTTGAATGAGGGGTTTATCACTGCCTCTGAGCCACGCAGGCCCACGGGACCAAAGGAGAGTAATAACAGCTTAGCTAAGGCATCACAGTGCCACCACTTCCACTCACAGTGGACGCCTTATCATAGAGGATGTAGGGGGAGGGGGTGAAGTGTGTTGGGAAGATAATAGAAATAATAATTTTATAGGCATTATAATTCTGTCTTCCAAAGCAAAATAATTATATACCTAGAAGCTCTGGCTTTGGGGGCTAACTTCCCTAAGCCATTTGACAGAATGTTAAAACCCAGCAAACTTAAAATGTAATAATATAACAAAGAGAGTAACAGACAACAACAAAAAAAACAACCTCATGTCAGCCTTGACTTACTGCATACAAGCATATTAAAACAGTCAGAAAATTATGATTTTTATCTCTTATATATATAAATATATATTACAAGCATACCTTTAATCAAGGATGTCTACTTCAAAAGTCGAACTAAAAAGGTGCAAGAAGTGTTTGTGCAGTGAAGCAAAGCTCCCTACTGGCCTGCAGCTGTAAGAGAGAAACTGTGACACTTATGAAAACATCCCAGGCAAAACTGCCAAAGTTCTGTCATCTTTATAACTAGAAAGGGCTTCAAATGCTTCTTTTTTTTTTTTTTTTTTTAATTTTTAAATACAGACACCTGTAATCTCAAATTTAAAGAGATTATAGGTGTGGGGAAGGATAATGTTCTAGTAGGAGTAGCCATTTTTCAACCACTGCCTGCAGCTGAACACGAGCAGGACTTCTCTTTTTCTCTGTGCTCTGGACACAGCCCACAAAGAGAGAAAAACAAAAATCTGACCCTCAACCCAAAGAAAAAAGAACTAAACAGAACAAAAAACAGATGAAGCATAATTAACTGTCATCTGCTAACAAATTTACCCAGATTAAACAAATGCAGACCTGGAAGCAGATGGTCTTCTGGGGCTCAGTGTAAGTCTTCAACTTAACCTCTCACTAAACCCAAAAACAAGCCAGATTTCTCACTTGGCAGTCCCCAGTATGGTAGAATTATTACAATGAAGTTTCATTACAGTAAGCTTTCAAACAAACCCTTAGAACAGCACATTCTGCACTTACTATTATGCTGATGTCATAAACCGTGCCTTTTAATTCTACAGGCAAAAGCAAAATTCTGAAGACCATTTTAAAAATGAAATAAATAAATATTTCTGATAAAGATTTGTTTACACACTTAAAGCAATGGGAAGAAAGACAACTGCTGAGGAGGTTATAGTGTCAAAGCTTCCTTGTCGCTAACATCGCAATTCTGCTTCTTTTCAACCAAAGCAGGACGCTCCTGCTGCTCTGAAGCAGCTGCAGGACCAGTGGAGGTAAAGTCCATTAGCTGCTCCTCAATCTGAGTCCATGAAGACATTGATTCATGCACTGTAATGGTGTGTTCCTCCATCTGACGCTGAAGACTGTCCATTTCTTGCCTTTTGAAAGTTTTGGGAACAAAAAAAAGAGCAAATATTATCAAGCAGAAAGCTAACAACTAAATGAAAGATAACTTAATTAATTTTCTGATTTCTGATACCTATTTCAACATTATCTAAGCTAGAGCTGTATACATTAGAAAGAAGTCTAAACAAAACTTAGAAACTGTCTGTAATTTAAGAGAAAAACAAATGCAATACACTTAACCCAAAAGTAAGTGCCAACAATGCAGCAACTCCTTTACTACACATACTTGCTGCCAAGCAAGATGCAGCACCATTTCCTCAGGAAAGGCACGCAGCATCTGCAACCTGATAGACATGGCTGCCTTGCAGATACTGAAGACAACAGGGACGTGGAAGTGAGGAAAGCGTCAGAGAAAAATAAGCAAACACACTGTGACTTGTATTCAGACAGCAGCTTTGCAAAAAGATGAGTCTGGTAATACAGATTCACTGCACAGATATTGCAGGCTCACTCCCCTAAAACAGCAGCTAAGGTGGTATTAGTATCTCAGTTATCACATAAGCCCAAGTTCCTGAGGTTGGAGCTTTCCTCCTCAGAACTTTGCATACATCCTTGTGAGGGCAGACACAAAAACACACTCGGCAGAATCAAATTCCACTGTAGAGATCCATTAATTCATTGCTTGGGCTCCTATCACAAGCAACCCTGCTAATAGTGAGAAGAAACAAACACCAGCTTCTCCACTACCAAGAGCAACTAAAAATAGCAGTTTCTGGTTTGTTTTGCAGTGTATCTATTTTTGTACTGAGAAATTTAGGATGAACATTTTGTCTACTTGTTCTTTCCTTATTCCACTGCCATATAAGCAAATATTTAAGATAACAGAACATCCTACTGTCCTAAATACAGCCCTAATAAGAGGAAAATAATTCATTTCACAACTCTTTTTTTTTCCTCCCCCCTTCAGTTGGCAGCTGGTTTCCTGGAAACGTTTAAAAAGTATTTAATACAGTTTTAGAACCAGGTCATACTTCAATTGCCGCAGACAGCTGTTCAGATTTTTTAAAGGCTCCTTGCTCACAGCTGTCGATGGTTTTAACAGTTCTTCCAGCAAGGCTGCAGGCACCGGGCAATCCGGGATCTTGACTGGAGTCACAGGATTTGAGGAATTGTTCTCTCCTTTCCTCTGGTTAAAGGGAAAACAGAACAGTCAGAAATCAATTAATCCATTCCATCCACTTCACTTGTACCAAATGGAGCCTCACACTACTGGTATGTAACATGAACACGCTTCTGATACAGTTAAATCTCATGGGTCACAAGTGTAAGTTCCTAACCTAAAGTCAACTTTTAGCCATACTCATAAGTAAACAGAAAGCATGCAGGGCTGCTCAAGAAATCACCCTATGAAAGAAATAAAATAGGGATTTAATGCAATTTACTTCTGTTTTCAACACAGAAATTAATGACATTATTTCAGTACAGTTAAAGAGGACAATTCAGGGAAGAAAAACCAAAAAACCAACAACAGTTGTGTATAATCAAAGAAGTCCTTCTGGATATCCTGAGACCTGCAGGATGAAACACAGAGACAGATGTCTACAGAACGAAACAGAGAAGTTCTATATGAATCTCCCTTATTGCTCGAGAGAAGATAAGTGCAAGAGACCAAAGAACCATTAACAGCTAGCTTCTGAAACTGTGGAAGGTGAAAAGCTAGACGGGTCCAGAATGGAGAAGACACACATGTTAGCATCAAGAAAATATTATCTAAATACTTGCCCACTAATCATTATTTAAGCACTTTCTTTTCTGCTTTATAATAATGAGTTAAAATGGAAATGTAAGATAATATGCTAAACACAAAGATTTTTAAGGAAAAAGATGTGAAATCAAATCGGTCAAGTTGCTTTTGCCTGGAAATGTTGCTGTATTTTTTATTTCAATCTCAGAACATCATTAAGCCAGTATCACAGGCAGGCATTTCAGTTAGGAATTTTCACCAAGTTCCCTTGCAGCAGAGTATTTCCCAGTACTGTAATCTAATGGCATGCTACATATTCCTTCTGCTAAAATACCTTCTTCATCTTGCCATGCTTCAGGTCCATCTTCAGTTGCTGGTTCTGCTGCAGCAGTGACTTCATGCTGTTCTTCAGTTCACTCACTTTAGCCTGCAGCATAAACTTATCCTTTTGAGTCACCGACAGATCTTCTCTCACCATTTCCAACTCAGTCTTGATATTCTGAATAGCAAAATAAGGAAATGAATATGATGCATGAAAAAATATAGAATTCCAGCCAACTAATGCCTTCATCACCTTATTCAGTCGCCAGGGGAAACTAGAAAAAGTAGCAAAACAAAACAGCGTGATATGAAACTGATCAACCATGGCAGAAATCCAGAAATAAGATAAAAAGTCAATGATCTGTTTTGTCCAATAAAATAAGCAGCTAACAGCCCAGTGTAACTAAGAAGAAAAGCTGAAAAACACAATACATATTTTATTAAAATAAATTTACATCTACTCAAATAATAAGTGCAAGTATGATTTTAAACTAAGAAGGGCTTTCTTAGTTATCCCCCTACACCAATACCTGTTACCCATCAGAATCTCCACTCGCTAGATTGAATACCTGCAGGACAACTTGCATCCCTTCCAGTTCCTTATGGCTGCGCTGCTCACTCATGTCCAACTGCTGCTTAAGTGTTTCAATTTCTCTTTCTTTTTGTTCTACTTCCCACTTGAGGTCTTCCACCTAGCAGAAAGAAGTACCATTAGCATTCTGTATACATCCACTGAATCACAAAATCTGAAGTATTCTTACCTAAGTCTCATGAATCCTTCCTGTCTCTAAGAAAACCTCCAAAACCAAACTATTAAAAATTGCTGAACGAAGGACAAAAGAAATCACACAACACATCATAAATAAGGATAAACACAGTAAGCGTGCAGCTTTTACCTCTTGGCTTACTAAAGGCTGCTCACTCAGCTTTTCATCCAGCTTTCTCTGCAGAAGTTGGAGCTGAGATCTGGCTTCTGCCAGCTCTTGCTGAAACTGTGATACTTCCTGGGAATGCTTCTCATCCTCTACCCTAAGCAGCAGGATGAACAGAAACACACACAGCAGTTACTCACTCTGCCCAAGTACTCTGTTGTGTTAGCTATGTAATCACAAGTGATGTGACAGCGCGTGGCACCTGCTTACAGCTCTGAAGTCTTTGCCAACACAGCCACAGCAAGAGTTAAGTCACCAGCGACAGGTGCATAACTACTGTAAGTACCACAAAAAAAATCTGCGTTCCATGAACACTGGTTGACTTACAAACAACAGATTATGTAAACAAAAAAAAACCTGTCAGTACATTTTGTTCTTGGAAGAACAGAGTTAGCCTTAGATCCACTCTCACTTAAGTCCTGTAGTTCCTTACAGTTTAAGAAAATACGCCCTATACAACAAAACAAACTGAACTGCAATATATTGTGGAATATATTCAACCCTCAAATTCATCCCCTATGTCATTCTTCAGAGCTGTAAAGAGAGGAGAACAATATATATTTAACTTGCTAACTTTTACTAACGAGAAATAGTAAAAATTCAGGTTGAAAAATGTAAAAAAAGAAGAGGATGGTGAAACCTATATACAGCCCACTTCAAATCTAATTTAATCACCAAGAGACAGAGACATGCAAATACATGCCTAGCATCCAACCACACATTTTATGATCAAGCTCAGCTAGGGCCCATTTCACCATAATCCACTCCAGAGCAGTGAAATCCAATTTCACTAAGATAGATGTTTTTCAGATGGCTTCTTTTGTTTCCTGTACTCTCAGAACTTAGGCATTTACTACGTCACACTTACTGCAGTTTGTCCACTTCAGCCTGAAGGGCTTGGACAAGCAGTTCTTTGGCATGTAGCTCTTTCTTGACCTCATTGAGCTCAAGGGCAGCAGCTCTGTAATGACGGCGGTTGTGTGCTGCATCTGCTTTGGCTGCTGCTACCTGCAAGAAAAAAAAAGATGCCATTTTCTTTGCTCTGTCACAGTAGGAGAATCATACGGGGATGTTGGCCAAGGGACTACAAACAAAACAAGAAGAAAGTTGTGCAGCAGTATTAATTTGCTGCTAACACTTCTTATTTTCGTTTACAAAACACTGTTAGTGTTGTCATCCTTATTAACACTAGTGGTAAATAGGTACGTAAGGAAGAACCCTGTCTGCAAGACTGTTTTTTCAATGCAAATTTTTTGATGAAGCATCCTCACTTCAGGATACACTCCACACATTGCAAGTTACAATGGAATTTTCTCAGTAGTCACAGAGCATGGCTAACAAACAGGGCATAACAGAAAAGACATCAAGTGATCTTTCAACTATCATCCACCACAATGGAGGTCCTACTGGTAGCACTACATTGTGAAACATACATTTTCTGTAAAGCCACTGCCCAAATACTTCACATTTAAATCATCTTTTAAATGAATAAAAGAAAAGACGACTTATTACCTGCTCCTTAAGGTCTTTAACTTTTGACTTTTCTTTCTCCAAGGAAGCCTGTAAAGCTTGAATAAGTTGTTGCATTTGCTGGTCCTCTTCCTCCTTCCGCTTTAGGACTGCCTGAACCTGCATCACATCACAAAAACAAATGCACGTTTTGTCCAGACTCACAGGAAGATCAGACAAGCTGGTAAATATGAACACTAGCCAATGCAGACACTGCAAAGCTTCCCTCTGCTCTTCAGGTCAAATGGTAGCACGTTATAGGCAATTCTTTGTCAATATTCCCATTTGTTTATATCCCAGGAATACATTACTACTGGCATACAAACCAACGTTCATCTCAGTGAGTCCTTCTGTGACACAGTCTGCACATCAAGGTCCAGTCTTAAACAAATCAAACTTCCACTACTGCAAGTTTTTCTGCATGATTTATTCCAACCCCCACCAGCAGCTCTGCCTAGTGCCAAATCTCACTTCTGTTGTTGAGTCTCATGCTACTGCTGTTATGCAACACATACGAGATCTGGAGCTGAAGAAATTGCGTCAACCTTGCATCGTGCAAGTGACGACCTCTACATCTTGTTATCAGAAACATCAGCCAGTTCCTTTCTTAAGATATTAAACCAGAAGGCAAATACCTGTAGATTCAGTTGGACCAAATCTGCTTCTCTTTTTGCTAACGCTGTTTCTAGAACATTGTTGTGCTCTCGCAAAGCAGCATTAGACTGACTAAGGCCTGTGAGTTTTCCACGTTCATGTTCCAGTTCAAGGGCCAACTTCTTGTTAATCTCTTCTAAACGTTTTATCTTCCTCCTGAACCCTCGAGACTCCTGAAGCTACAGTCAAAGAGAAATCCAAAATAAACAAAGTTCCAGATTACAACCTCAAAAAAATGAAGTCATTAAGTTTCTCTGCTTTCACAAGTTGTTGTTTTTTTAATATATAGTTCAGAATAGGCACAGTTACACAGTAGTTGCGGAGTTTTTTAGAAGACTAGGATGCTTGCTAGACAGCTGAATCTCTGAGTACTGCTCAGATGCAGAAAAAAAGTAGTTGATTTTTTGGACTATCATTACCATCCTGCACTTCAAAACTCACTGAGCATCCATGACTCCCAATAAACAGTGATTCATGCACAACCACTGTCTCGTGACCACACTCAGCTGGTAACTGATAAAGGAACTACCCTTCTCTCTTTTTTTCCTCTACGCTAAAATGATTCATAAAACCATGAAGAGCCATGAAGGGCAGCCATGAAGGGCAGCACAACTGGCCAGTGCCACAAACACAGCATTTCCTACATAAGGTTCAGATTTTCTGCACTGTTGGAATAAAATAACAGTACTCAAATTTCTCTTTTCCTCTAGGTACTTTGCCTGAATTACATGACAGATGGGAAAGTGGCAGTACAATCACCTCATCCTCAAGTTCCAGCACTTTCTCTCTGTATTCCTCAAGCTCTTGGCTGGTAAGTGAAATCACTTCTTGCAACTCTTTTTCCAGCATCAACTTACTGCTTCTAACAGCTTGCAATTCTGTCTCCAGGGCTTGAATCCTTTCCTAAAGACAAAGAGATAAGGCAGATTATTGCATCATTCACCTGCAGAGGCAATTGTTTTGTTAAGGAGTTTATTCTACTATCAAGTATTAAATGAGCTGCTGGCGCTCAATTTAAAGGTCTTGCTCAGAGCTTTACTATTTTGGAAGATCTTCAGATGCTGAGACTTTGGTTTTTTTTAATCAGCTGCAATCAGTAATCAGAAAAATATGGATGAAATATAAAAAAAAAAAACAAAGCTTGCCAAATCATCTCTCTCAAATGTAATTAAGGAAATTCCAAGTATTTAGAACATTGATACATGGTTCTTATCTAGCTCTATATTCCAAGTATTTTCATCACTTCAGTGTAAAATAATATTCTGACACATTCAACAATGTAGCTGTGCTATCTTTGTATTAACAGTGTTAAAGACATCCATATACTTGAGCAATCTGGTTGCTTCCACCATCAGTGATTTGTGCTTTTAGCTTGCTCAGCTCTGCTTCAGCAGACTCCTTTGCAGTGAGGGATTCCTGCAGTCGCCGACTCAGAATGCTGACTGCATTCTCATAGGCTTTATGCTTTGCTTTCATCTCCTTCTGAGCACTTGTCAGATCTGACCCTAGACGCTTCATTTTCTGTTTCTGCTCAGTAATGGCCCTAGAGTGAAAGCATAAACAAAACAAGGTGAAGACAAGATTTGCCTGATAACACCGTTGAAGGATTCATTTTTAACATGGCTCAAATGAAAAGTTAAATAAACAAATAAAATCTACATACAGTCCACTGGTAGCTACCAGCTGAGCTGTAAGGATCCCACAGCAGACAGCACCAAAGCCTTGCTGTAGTGAAGGCAAACAATGCCCACTTCTCTCCCCTAGCCCCAAACCATTCATCCTAGAAAAAGCCATCAGGTTCCTAAGGAATGATTTTGGCTCCTGGCGAGGTAATGACTAAGACTGCTGAGAGCAATTAAGAAACCAGAATCTTCATACTGAAGTATGTAATGTACACTGAACTTAGAGTAAGAATTCAGTTTAATGTGTCATCCAATCTGAAATCTTTGATGTGTTTTGCAAAAAGTTTTCTTCTATGATTACCAGTGAAAATAAAAAACAAACCCAAACTTGTTCTCATTAAAGCCATCATTCTAGCCAGCTGGGGCTGTAAGACACTGAAGGAAAACTAGGATTAACTGAATGTTAACTCCACTTAACATGTTCTACTATGCTGACATAACATACATGCTGCACGGCATTTATCTTTGGTTAAAAACCATGAGTGAATCAGAGAAGCTGGAACTCCTGCTTAGCATACAATCAACATTTTCCCAAATGAGACTAAGAAATAGGAAAAGTCTTACTGCTAGAAAGGTGCTCACAAAAACAAACATCATAGTTCTTTTGTCTGTATTAAAAGAACAGACTTACTTCTTTGCTTCTTCTTGCATTTGTTCTACTTGCAGTTTTAATGTCTGATTTGCCTCAGCAAGAGATGCCATTTGCTCCTTATCAAACTGCAGAGACTTGATAGGGAAGGAGAAGAAACACACATTTGCTTTATGTTGGATTACAAGGAAACAGATGTAAAGTTTCAAAATTATTTTCAACTCTAAATAGAAACAGAAGAAAAAAAACCAGCTATTTCAAGGTTCTCTGTCTTCTTTCCAACTCCTCTGCATTTCTTTTTAAATGAATTCTTCTGTGGCCGCCATGATAACATGTGTGCACAGAGCTCTGCTTTGGTCTCTCAGACTGCACTCACTTTGAGACCAGGTTAACTGCTTCCATGTCACCTCTCTGCCACTCCTGTAGCACCCTCCTCCCTGCTGACTTACAGGAGATATCCATTACTGATTGTGGAAGGCATATGCACACCTACATATACAGCATTAAGTAGGTAATCAAGAACTTTAACTTGCAGGTAGCCAGAACTAACGGAAGTGACAACATATCCTGTATGTAACACTCCCCAGTGTCCAAAGCTTAACAGCTCCCATACCTGTAGGCGTGTTTCCATTTCATCTCGTTCTTTCTGCACGGACTGAAGATGATTTTCTATTTCCACCATCTGCTGGCGAACCTCAGTCACTTCCTTCTGTAGTTTTGAATGTTCAGATTCCAGTGACTGCTTTTCTACTTGAATTCGTAGCAGTTCTCGCTTTAACTCTTTCAGTTCCGCGTCCAGGCGCTTCTTCGTAGCTTTCAGTTCACTAATCAGCTGGTCCTTAGAACTTGCATCTCTTCGATAAGCTTCCACCATCACCTTGTTCACAAGAGTTCAAGAGGAAAAGATCATCCCTGTAACTCTAAAATCTATAAAGTTGTAATTTACTGTGAAGTATTCACTGCTGTTGTTCCAGTTTTGTGGTGGCATCATCAAATAATACAGACCGACATCATCTCTGCGACTCACTCATGCAAGTTCAGAGACTTATGCAAGCTCAGGTATCAAATAATCAGATAATATCAGCAGTTCATTAAAAACTATAGCAAGAATGTTTACAGCAACATGGTACACTCGTCTTCATATTCTTTATAGAACTTCTTCAATGCTACTTTTTAAAAACTAAACTAGTTGTAAAAACTATTACATGTGCACAATTAAAAACTGTTGACACGAGAAGGGGATTTGTTTGCAGCCCACCGTTTAAACAGCCTTCTCAAAGCTAAACCAAACAAGCTACAACTGCTGGCAGTAGGATAAAAAGTAATCAGTGGTGCCATAATACATATATTCTTGCAAAACCAATAACATATCAAATTACTATTTTAAAGCTATTCAGAACAAAAGTCAAGTAGCAACCACTTTTCAAAGCTGCAAGAAAATGATGATACTTGAAGATTTTCCTGAGTGCTTTTGCAAAAGCAAACTTGATATCAGCAAGCCAGAGAAATGTGATATGATGGACCATTGGGCAAAGTTCCTAAAGTCCTATGAAAGCACGAATTGATTGGTGGATCTACTTTTATCTTAACTGCAGATAAAAATTCACTGTACAGAATACACAAACAAAATAATTATGTCACAAAGTTATTTGTATTTGGTACTGAAAATGGATTCCAGTTTCCTCACAAAAGCCCTCAGAAGCACCTAGACTGTAAAAATCTGCTCTTTGCTTCTAATTCTCTGAAATAACTTGCTTCTGTTTACCTTCTGCTGTAGGAACTGTTCCTTCACTTTTTGAACCTGTTTTTTAAGGCTGCCATTTTCCTGTTGCAGATTTTCTACCTGCAAGAACAAAAACCAAAGATGTTGCTTCACATGCCACACCACATATTCCACGTTACTTCAAGCACTGACAGTACCTTCTACTATGGTTGAACATATTGTTGAACATACAGCATACTAATGAGGATCCTGTTTGTGACTAGGTCTGTCAGTGACACCGTTAGATAACCCAGCATTTTATACAGAAATAAATTTACATCTTATAATGAACCGTGTAGTAAACAAGGGCTCCTTATTCTGACATTAAGATTTTAGTTTGTGCCACTGATCTGTATAATGGTACCCATACAGCATCAGTTCTCACATACGTGACCTAGTGAAGAAAGCAGCTGGTTCTTCGAATGGGAAAAAAAAGCAATCTCATTATATGTGCATCCACAGCTATTTTACACTTCTACTGGTAATACTAACAAGTTCCATTGCTCTCTTCAAAAGAAACCTCTACAGATTACCAGGCACCCATCATAAGCTGTATTCCATAAGCAAGCTCTTCGTGGAGCTTTCACGTGGAGCCTGGACGCCATAAAAGATAGAGAACTTATATGATTATGACACTAAAGGTGCAAAGGGAAGGGTCACAATACTTGAAAGCAGGCACAAGAAGAGTAAGGACATGCATTAGACTTAAACTTGTTAACCAGCTCAGTGCCTAGAAAAAAGCCTTGGCTGGTACACAGCAATATCCAAACCTCACCCTGCTGTACTGGTACAAGATAAAGGCTCAGTTAAACACGACTAAATTACTGCCTATGGGAGATGTTTGATGGTGTCAAAAAAAAAAAAAAAAAAGGAGCACATCAGAAAGTTATTTTCATGTGGTCTGCACTCAATTTTTTTTTAAACTGTTATGTTTTAGAAAGATCACAGAACAGAATCAATTAACTTCAGCTTCCCATCTCGTATAATGAAAATGCATAAATCCATACAGATACCAAGTAGTACGAAACTGTAAGCATTCTAATGATACAACAAAATATAAAGCATCAGTCTTCCAACAGAGAAATATAACAGAATTATTAAAACATTCCCAATTAGCTGAATGTTGAAACCACAGACATGGATGAACCTGCCTGTACAAATCTCCTGCCATGTAACTGGCAATGCCACGTGCCTGTGGCAGTACTGAACTGCAACAGCTATGTTTAATAAAGACGCTTTTAGGGATTTATTACCTGGCTTGACTTAATTGCCATCTCTTGTCTCAACTGTTCCAAGATTTCTGATGTTACTTCTGTATCTTCTCCAAGGCGTTTTGTTCCTTCATCAAGTTGCTCTTGGCTTGCTTTTGCTGTCTGCAGAGCAACTTCCAAGACAATCTTCTCATTTTGCAAATACTGTATCATGTCATCTTTAGAAGTAGCATCACTTTGGAACTCTTCTAATCTGGCCTTCAGTTCATCATACTGAGTTTGCAGGTCATCCAGGGTCTGCTCTTTGGTATGCAACATCTCTTGGGTCACGGTGAATTGTTTCATTAGATCTAGGTGCTCTTGCTGTAAAGATTCAAGCTGCAAATCTCTCTGATGCAAAGTCAGTTTGACCTGAGAAAAGTATTTTAAGATTAAGTTCATACAAAATGAACATCGTATTTGAGAATGCACTGCAATAAAAACAAAATATTGTAACTACCATTGAGCTTCTAGGGGAAAATAACAGAAGATCCTGACTGCCTAACAACTTTGGACATTGACAACTTCTTGTCTATATTTGGAATAATTACATATTGAATTCACTAGCAAAAGCAACTTCCAAGAGAACAGATCTGAAATTTCAAGAAAGTATTGTTATTGAGATGATTAAAAAAAAAGGAGAATGAAAGCTTCTCATCTGAAGCGGAGCAATTTTCACATGGATTTCATTTTCAGAAGAATTACAGAAGTTCAGAGCTCAGCATTTACTTATTACTGCCTTTTCAGCCAACTAGCTGAATCCTTTGCAATCTTTGGGAAGTTGTCAGCCTACCTGATCCAGCTCTTGCTCCAAAGTTGCTGCAGAGTCAGCCATTTTCTGAAGCTGTTCTTTCTCATCCTCAAACTCCTCTAGTTTTCTCTGCAAGTCTTCTTCCACCATGGTTTTAGCCTCTTGGATCTGCATGAAGGCAGCTTCTTGGTCCAACATGTCAGCCTGCACAAAAGAAAGTAAGGAGTCAGCATTTATAACTTCAATGGGTAGGGACTGTGTACACATGCTCTGTTGGGAGAATAAAAATGAGAAGGATAAATGAAGAACATTTCTCGATGAAAGAGACGAGCGAACATTTTGATGTCTGCCCTACAGCCCAGTAGATCTTTACTGAAGTCATCCACTAACGCACTTAAGACACAGCAGAAAAAATAGCGAGCACACTTGTGACAATCTGAATTCCTCTTCAATAACTTTGCATACTTTCTAAATTGACCAAACAAGATATAAATAAAAAGAATCTTTGAAGTATTATAATTAAGCCATATAGAAAATTCTGAACCAGAAGATTCGTGAGACGCCGTAGCTACTCCACGAAATAACATTTCCTGTCATTGACACAACTGCTATTAGCAACACCAGAGATGAGGTGCTTCCACTAACCTGCTGCTTTGCTGCCCTTTCTAGCTTAAGAGATTAGGAGCAAAATTCAATGCTCTGATGGAAAATCCTTCTGTTTTCAAATATGACATTTGCAGAACCTAAATACACAAGTTCAACAGAATATAAGTCACAGAGACCATCTACAGCCTTACCTCAATGTTCTGCAGCTGTGCTGCAATACGTTCCTTTTCTTTAATAGATCTGTGCTGGGTTTCAGTCAACTGCTGAGACAATGCCACATTCTCCAGTTTGAGATGTTCCAACACACCTGCTTGGGTCATTTGCCCAGCCTGAAGGGAAAAAGGGGAAAAAAAAATACACTGGATAGAAAGAAATGCCAAAATTCAGCCAAAAAAAAAGGTCACAGTCCCAGGGGAAAGGAAAAAAAAAAAAAAAAAAGGAAAAACAAAAAAACCACAGAATCTGTGCCTCGTCTCAACTATTACCTACATGGCTCTTCACAAACATACGACAAGTGTTCTGGTTATATTTATGTGTCAGTAGTGACATGACCTAACACACCATGATGAAAACCAAACCACCCCCCCCCTCTACTCTCCACCTGAAGTACACAGAGTGAGGCTCCCTTATCAGGGTTCATACACAACATCCCCTCGATAAAACTAAACATGCAACATCCTCAGTCCTACGTGCAAGCCAATCACAACACCTGTATATTGGCCATCTCGCTCTGCAGCCTGACTCGAGCCTCCTGTGCAAGAACCAGCTGCTGCTGGTACCACTGTCGCACATTCTGGAGAGAAGTGATTTCTGTTTCAGATGCTTTCAGCTTATTGGTCAGCGTGGTTCGTTCCAGCTGCACTTTCTGAAGTTGGTTCTGTAAGGAAGCTAACTGCTGTCGCAGATCATGAACTAAAAAAGGAAAAGAAAGCAGAGGGATTATCATACACCATCACTCTGCACTCATGCACAGGTTTTCAAGGCTTATTGCTGTGTTCACAGCTATTTATTTGATCAAAAACATGTGCACCTCATTACACAAAGACTGGCTATTCCAAGTGAGCTGAAATTCTAGAATAAAAAAAAATTCAGGCCATAAGCAGAACAAAATTAAAATAAATGAGTAATGTTTAAGCTTTTTAAGGGACAGAGGTATGAAATAATTAAAAAATAGAATTGAAGATCAGGTACCCTGAGATGGAGATTCATCATTACAAATTGGGCTTCAGAATTATGTCAAAATAAAAGTGTTTCTAGAATATAAAAATTGTAGAGATCACAATTTACATCAGCCCACCTGTGCTGTCTCTGGTGAGAACACTTTTTTGCATATCTTCAACTTTCAGCATGAGTCTTTGGTACTGCTCCTCTGCTAGCTGCAAATCATTATTTGAAGAAGCCAAACTAGCGTTCTTTGCTTCCAAGGTGTTTTGCAGGTCAGCCATTGCTCGTTCCAGGTCCCAGCAAGACTGCTTTAATGTGGCCACTTCGGAGCTCAGCGATTCCTGCTTCTGTTGGCTGCTTTGGCTGTGCTCCACCTGCGCCTGAAGCTTCATGTTCAAAGCTGCAAGTTGGGCCTGCAGCTCAGCCTTCTCTTTCAGAGCCTGAACGTGTCCCAAAAATAAAACACAAAGGTCTTAACAGAAAATATGCTAATGGCTGACTACAGAAGATACATAGCAAAATGAGTTTGCTAAAGCAAAGACCATTTTGTTCTAAAAACCATTTTTTGAAGTGACATCTTGCCTACCAAATTTTCAAAGAAAATACAGAAGACAGCACAGACAAACCACACAGTGTTTCTGTTATAAATCCTGACATGGTTATTGGCATATAAGATTTGTTTCCACCCTTTAAGTAAGAATGTTTTGCGTTCTGAACATTGTACCATTAGTCAGTACAAACTGAAAATACAGCAATACAGGCAATCACTGGCACAACTCTGTATTTATCATCTCTGGACTGCTTTTGTCCTTTTTTTCTTTTTTTTTTTTTTTTTTTTGAACCTTTCAACAGCTTTACTGGCTTTATCTCCCTAAACATCCTTGTAATGCAAGTAGTTCAACAATGTTTTTACAAAACACACTTCCCTAAGAGTAGGAAGCCCTTGAAAATTAATTAACACATTAACATAATTTGCTAAATACAGAAATTCATTTTCTACCTGATTAGCTTCTACAGAAAGTGCCTCTAGTTGTCCTTCAAGTCTCATCTTCTCCTTTAGCACCTGCAACATTTCGTCATGAGTTCCTGCGACAGAGCTTTCCATAGATACACTGCAGAGACATCCATACACAGTTAAGGGTTAGAATACTGCTGAGCAAAAGCATTGCAAAATTAAGAGGCATTCAGAGTCCATAAGATAATATGCTTCCCACGTGACCTAGCAACATGCACTCCAAGTTTGAAGGATCCAGAAAAGAGGGGAACAAATTCAGTACCATCTAAAGAGAAAGAAACCGCATTCACACTGAAGTTTTACATGTTAGCTTCCTACATTTGCAGCTACTAGAGTTTATTTATACTTCTGTTACTTTTACAGAAGCGCAAGGTAACAACGGGAAGTGCAGAAGAAGGAAGAAAAAGGTATTTGGCAGAAGGGTTTCCTTATTCTCCTTTCACCATATACAGCTGAGGAATCCAGAGAAAGCTGACAAGATCTTCTCTCTCATTACTGCAAGAATTAAGCCCATGATGAGACAATCAGTGACAACTGATTTTACCCTAATGTCTCATGGAACTTCACTTTACTCCAAAATGGGGAAGGAGAAAAGGTAATCTCTAAACTGCTACCATATTTCCATAAATATAACATATTTCAATCACTGCATTTGCAGACAAGTGATAAAAAAAAAAAAAAAACAACCCACAAATAACTGCATCAGTAAGGGCTTCAGCTTGCCTATAATCAGTTTAACACCTATCACACACATGTAAGCTTGTTAGACTCAAGGGCTGCAGAGACTAAGAGTACTAAGGGCAGGACTCTTAGCATTACACAGTGACTCAGGGTCTGAAAGATCACATAAATGATCATAACAAACATCACTGCTTGACTCAGTTATGTCAACACTTTCAGGCCTTAAAGGCCAATGCCACATCAGGGACTCTGAATAAATGCTCCACAAGCAAATACAGATGGAGGCAATTGCTAGCAGAACTTTTAAAACATCCAATCAGTGTCAAAACTATCTTTCTCTAAAACACATTTAGTCAGTAGATACCTGGTGATCTTTCAGTTTCTTTTATAATCTCTAAGTTAAAAGCAGATTTTATCATGATGAACAGAAGTTTCATCCAATGTTAGCAGAAGAGCAATAGAGCACCGACTGAAAAAGTGTAATGCTTGGTAACCATCTGACTGTGTATCAGTCTTTCTTACCTGCTAGAAATACTGTCTCTCCGGCTCCGTATTTCCCCATTAAATTCTTGCTCTTGGGCTTGGTGCTCCACTGCTGCAGCCTGTAGCACTTCACTGATGGAAGGAAATTGTCCTATCGCATCAGGATGTATCTTCTGACCATTTATTGTGTATGGAATTCTCTGCTTGCCTTCTGAATTTGGTAAATTGTTATACAGCCCCTTTCCTGATACGCTGCTGTAAGTAGAGCTGTCGCTTTCATTTCCATCCAGCCTCATTCCCACTTCACTTCCATCAATCTCTGAAACGCTATCTCCTGCCAAGGAGGAATCCTCTATTCGATCATCTGTGTCAAAAGGCAGACTAATCTCAGAAACAACTGATGCTGGACCACTTCTGCTTTGCTTCAAAGTCCCACCAGGTAAATCAGGAGCCACAAGATTCCCTGCAGAACTTCCAGAGCCTGAATCTTCAGTTCTGTAGTCAGCCAAGGACCGGATCTTAGTGGACTTCGAAGACTTTGAACTTTTTCTCTCTTTTGAAGATGCTGGAAGTCCCAGGCTTCCCAGTTTCGGCCCCCTGGGGACACTGGTCCGCAAAAAGGAGTATTCCTTCGTCATTGCTACAGTGCTGGCCCTTGGTAAGATTTCTGGGTTTAACATCAGCTCAGGATCCAATGTGCTGGAGGGCCGGCTCTTGGATGCAGACTGGTTAGACTAAAAGAAACCAAGAGACTCCAGTAAATTTCAGAACGTTACACCTGAACTAGTGTCAAGGATTTATTTTGTTGAAGCTCTGAACTGTCACATTTATATTTCTGCATCACTTCATGAACAAGTGAACTGTGGCAGCAATCAACTCTATCAAGACTCGTGATCAAGGTAGAGTCTAAAAACGAACAGAAGGATTGCTGTGGCTGAAGCTGGCAGGTGGCTGAGCACCACTGTCCTGACCACTGTCCTTCCCCCAGAGGGATGGGGGAGAGAACTGAAAAAAAAAAAAAAAAAAAAAAAAAAAAAAAAAAAAAAAAAAAAAAAAAAAAAAAAAAAAAAA